ATTATTATTATTATAACACCTTTACTGTATAATGTATGTACCTGGAGCAGCGTAAGCAGGTGAACCACAACAGGTTTCCAACTGTGCTGTCATTCCTCCTTCAGGTTTAGCAACAAGACCAAAATCAATAAGCTTGATATTCTAAGAGTACAACAAACACAACTTGAATTATCATGATTACAAACATTACAGGAAATCATCAGGAAAATTAATTATTAAATGAGCAAAATAGTGGCATGGAAGCAAATACACTTATTAACTGAACAGTCAACGGTGTGATTAAGATATTAATAAATATTGGAGGCAAGGCTGAAAGCTTATACTCTATGATAACTGTTTAAATATTGTTCTAATTACGTGGGCTTCCTGTGGAAGTCCACGTCTTAAAATGCAACTGGCGATTTCGTCGTGAATATTACGCTTCAAATTGGTAGCGCATCGGTAGCGCATGCGTTGCAGTCTCAGTTTCCATGGGGATGTCGAAGTAAATCAATCAGCGCTTTCTTTTCATTCATGACATGTATTGTTTCGTATGTCATTCGGCCTCGTGGTCTTATCGCGATATCTAAGTCACGTTATAGCTACTGTGACCTGCTTTGTGACCAAGAAAATCAATGTGATCAAGAAAATGAAGGAAACCAACCCTAGAACGCTGATCTCAAAGCTCTTACTACTTCTTGAATCATTCAAACGATCAAAATATTACTCAAAGTTATAATACTTAGAAAACTGCAAAGACTGTACCGTTTCTATTGTTTATTATTATCTCTGGAGCTACTACGAAACTATGATATAACATAACCTTTCAGGTCAAATTTACATATTTCGAATATTTGCATATTTTGAATAATCTAGACGCTCTTAGAGCGTAAAGTCGGGCAAGCTATTTTTGAAAACTGAGAAAGTCAAGGTACTTAAGTTAATTAGAGTTCAGTTCGGTAAAAAATTGTGATGTAGTAAATAGCTTAGGCTTGTCCTGACTTATTTCAAACAAAGACTGTATCATGAAAATGAAATACTTATAGCTCAATGGCGGCAGCTGACCCATTGTCGCATCTACAGGAAGCCCACGTACAGTAAGCGATCAATGATCGTCTAGTTAATATTTAAACTGCAATTGCATTGTGTTGTAGGATGAAAATAAGGGCAATTATACTTTTTAGTTAGCACTGTATTTGCCGAAGCACCTTTTTATTACAAGAGTGAACTTTTGAGAACAATATNTTAAACCAAAATGTTCAATGAATTGAGCCTAACCCTAATCGTATAATGTATTCCATCATGAGCTGTGAGCCAGCTCTAATTATTCCGTATATACTTATACTTTTTATCCTATGTAGCCACGCGTTTTTAGCCGCTTCAAAGAAGGAAGGGAACGCCTGCCAGCAGTATATCTTCTGAGCGGATAGTAACGCATTGCTGCAAAGACTATGTTCTCTTCCTCTTAATCATCATCAATTTTAGATAATTTGAAGTAATTTATCTGTTTTCCAGAATTGCGCAGCTACGTTATGCCTAAAATAGAGTTAACCGATCAAACATCAAAATACAAATGGTACGCGGGGGCTTGGGGTAAGTGTTCTGTTACCTGTGGTGGCGGACAAAGAAACAGAGATACGTACTGCTCTCTAGGACCCAATGGCGAGCATGTTCATTACTCCAAATGCAAAGGTAAAAAACAAACAGTCTATATCAAACCCCGGGGAGTACCGGGGGAATTCACATATCAACAGTGTTATTATCACCGCATTTCTGATCCTTAGAGGACAAAAAARCTGTTAAACTGACCATTTCATTTGATTTAGACTTTAATTTCCCCGCCTTCACGTTGATTGTGTTATTAAAGCAGTGTTAAATCCCCGGSTATAATTTGTTAATTCCCCGGCCCTCTACGGGGGTTATCCCCGGAGTTTCATTTTACTGATGCATTATCATTATGAAGAAGTCACCTATTGCATAGTTAGGCGAGCTTTTGGAAAAAGTCACGGCCTCTTCTCTGTATATATCCTATATTCAGTGGTCTCTTTGTAAATACTGAAAGAGTAATTTTTAAAAGGAATGATCGTTTTAGGCGCACGAATCGAAGTGCAGTTCTTTTGAATCTTAGTCTCATGGCTCTTATTGAAGATCTTTGCATGTTCCATTGTCAGTACCGTAAATGATCTAATAAACGCCCCCTTTCTAATGAACGCCTCCTATCTATGCTTATACCGGTTTGTATTAAACGCCTCTTTCTAACAAACGCCCCCTGTCTATTAAACGCCCCCTCCCCCCTCCCCTCCGTGCCACCATCCATCACTACAAACAAACGACTTAGGAATGACGGTAACATAAATCAATTTAATTTATCTTCTTGCTTCATTAACACAGGTAAGTGAGAAACGACTTGTTCCATTTCTAGTTCTTTAATTCTACTGATTTCACTGCTTACCATATCAGGTCGTAAAAGTTATAAATCATATAGGTATATTACATTGTTACAGTTTTATTTTAGAATAAACGCCTCTCTCTAATAAACGCCTCCTGTCTATAAACGCTCCCCCCTGATCCATCGAAATTTAATAAACGCCCCCGGCGTTTATTAGATCATTTACGGTAAGCATCTCTTGTACCGTGCGTCAGCCAATCACAGCACGTGTTATATAAATAACTACTGAGCTTCAATCATAATAACGCTAGCATTCCCCAATAGGTACGCCACCCGATGCTTGGAAAGATTGCAACAAACAGCCCTGCCCCTCCCCCTATAAGTGGTACGTTGAAGACTGGGAAAAGTGCTCAGTGACTTGCGGCGGTGGTTGGCAAAGACGCAAAGTGATTTGCGCTAAAGAAGATATGCTACCAACAGCGTACTACCTATGCAACCATACCAAACAACCAGAATTTCAGAGGAAGTCAGTAAAAGCCGTTATCATAATTATCAAATTCACTGTAATATACGCGTGCACAGGAAAATAGCAATTAATTGTAGTTTCGTTACAGACCTTTTTTTTGTTCATGGGGGCAAATATGATGTTGTTTGTGATGAGGGTAGACCAGAATGCACCATGATTTTGTATTTTAGAAAAGGTCTATTGCGACGTACGCGTTGCAGTTAAAGTGATTTGGTCTCTGAGCCCGCAGTAACGTAGCCTGCGTATAGCGCTCGGAGATAATCGTAGATAGTTCACTTTTGGTACTTGAAAACTCACCAACTCTAGCGCCGCTCACATGGGTTAGGGTTAGGGTTAGGGTTAGAGGAGTGCATTGGAGTGCTAGGGAGCGCTAAGGTGAAGCGCATGTTGGTTGGGGAGAGTGAAGTATCTACCGAGATAAAGTGATTGGGGAGTGCCTACGCAGGCTAACAGTAACACTGAAAGATTTGGACGGCATTTGGTAAAAAATAATGGACCTCTCTGTTTAAATATAGATGTAATACTCAGCCATGTCCGCCTAAAGCACGTCCAGCTCCCCATGCTCCCCAAGCACCACAACAACCTCAATGGCCCCAACAAGGCCCGCAACAATTTCCTCAACAACAAACACAACAGCAACAACAACAACAGTGGCCAACATCGTGGCAGCCACAATGGAAGGTAAATTAGGAAGCAAAACTTGGATTAATCAGTAGTAGAACAGCAATTTTACTTAATCGTGTGCAGTGATTGCTGGTTTTCCCCAAGGGTCACACTTGTACAACGTGTGCACCGTTTCTCCGCTCACTATAAAGCAGTAATCTAGAGAGAATAATGATTTATTATGCTAGTAGAGCCACAACCAAGGTACTAAATGTGCAAGATTAATTGCGAGGACATCGTATATTGTTTATTTTTTGCGCAAAAAGTTTGATTGTTGATAGAAATTTTTTTTCGCATTTGATTCCTGCTCTCCACGAATTTTGACATCTGATCTACGACTCGGCAATGCGTATCCTAGCAGATGTGACGCCCATCCTAAAGCCGCAAAAATCTTCTTGATCATTTATGATCCAAAAATTACGCTGATCCCTGATCATACGTTTGTGCTATTGTGTATGCTTATGTCGTTTGTTACGTGTGTTAACATATATAATTATACGGCAGACAAGTCATTGGACTCATTGCTCTGCAACGTGTGGGATAGGCAGACAGCTGAGACAAGTTGYCTGTGTGTCAAGACACGGAAAGAGGCTTGAACACAAGCGTTGTCAAGTGGTCAGCGGTTATATACCTGTAGCTAAACGAAGATGTAAAACTACGAAAAAATGTCTCCCAA